CACCCAACAACAAAACACCAACAACTACAAAGTTGGCAGTTCAAACCCACCAGCTGCTCTTCAGAAATGGTACAAAGGGTCCCTATGTAGGAACCTACTCAATGTCACTCTCAAACAAAGACAACAATAATTGGGTATTTTATATCTTTTTGGGAACTGCTTTTTTATGTCCTATGCCTGTTTTTCTATTGGATTGGTAAACTCTTCTAAATTCCTCCAAGAATTCTTTATAAAAGGATATTAACCATTTTTTTTTACCTTTTATGTAAAAAATAATGAATTTTCAATTTGTTACATGCATTTGAATTCCATATAGTGGCATGGCATGTGTAGCAAGTCACTTAACTTTCTAGGCCTCAGTTTCTGTACCACAAAAAGAAGTGGTTTGTCTAGAAACTTGAAGTTTCTTTCCAGATTTGAAATGTTATGATTTTACATAAACATCTGGTATATTTGATATGTATTTTAATTTGTTAATTTTTTACATAAACATATGGTAATAATAAGGAGCTCTGGTAGAGTAGTGGTTATGAGTTGGGCTGCTAACCTTAAGGTCAGCAGTTCAAAACTACCAGTGGTTCCGTGGGAGAACGATGAGGCTTTCTGCTCCTGTAAAGATTTACAGCCTCAGAAACCCTTTGCAGGGCTGCTATGAGTTGGAACCGACTCCATGGCACACCACCACCACTACCACCATCCTGGTAGCAATAAAATACATATAATTATGTATATCCTCTTGTTGACGAGTCTATTCTAACTCACCGTGACCATACAAAACAGAGGAGAACTGCTCCACAGGGTTTCCACAGCTGTGCACCTTTGCTTAAGCAGATTGCTAACTCTTTCTCCCGCAGAGCAGCTGGTAGGGTTGAAGTGCAGATAGCTGTTTAGTCACTGCTCCACAAGGATATATAATTATCATTATTTGTTAATGAAATACTATGCCAAGCTGTGATCTGAGACCATTGAGTCTCTTAATAGACAATGGTGTTTGAAAGAGTTATACACACACACACACACATTATATGACATGTACACATTTGTGAACTTTAATGAAATTCTCACAAGTCACAAGAATGGAAAATCTCATGTATTTGTTATTTTTTTGTACTGGACAAGTCACTTATTAGTCTTTTCTAAGGAAATATTCCTTTTGCATCACTGAGGCTACTGTAACCTCTACCAGTGGTTCTTTTTGTTGTTAAACAGGTATTCGATACAGTTAATACTACATATTCGAACTTTAAGAGCAACTTTGTGAAGAGGCTATCTGTGGAGTCTCCCGCTGCCAGTAGCCCCCTTGTCACAAGATGGCAGCAAAGCCAAAGCAGGGATCAAAGCAAGGAGACCCTTCAGCCAGAGCATCCATTCCCTGGCCTCCCAGGTTCTCCTGAGTCAGTGCTGCAGATGACTCTGGAAACAGAGACCTTAATTCCAGGTGAGGTCATAGGAATATCATGCCACAACCTCATTCTGAGATGTTAAAAGGGGCTATATTCCGGAGAGAACTGGGTCTTAAAAAACTGTTTAGTGCACAGTCACTTTTCTGCTTTTTTCCTTCTTAGTAAGAAACTTCCAAGGGTGTGAAATAAAGAGAAAAGAAAGTTTGTTCCTTTTCAAATACACTTCAAAGACTTGGCAGATAATCACTTTTATCAAGATATGTACATATGTGTGGATATATGTATGCATGTAACAACTCCTTGGGTTGTAAAGTATGGGATTTCAATGATAAGATTTGTGGTCTATAGCAGTGAAAAAATATATATTAGGTCACAGGAGGCTTGGTAATCCTTTGGAAGTGAGTGCAAACTGATAATGCATGAGGCTGCTAATGGGAAGACTGGAGGTTTGAGTTAACCTAGAAGTGACTCAGATGAAAGGTATATCAAGTCACCATGCGTTGTAGTTGACTAGATGTAAAGTGTGTTTTCTTTTTAATAGAACCAGGAGAAAAGAGGGAGGGAGGAAGGTGGTGAGGGTGAGGGTGAGGGTGAGGAGAGGAGCGGAGAGAGAAGAGAGAAGAAAAGGGAAGGGAGGCTGAGGGTGAGAGACAGTTTGTGGGCAGGGATGGGGAAATGGAGAGCCCTGGTCTGATAAGCAGGAATCAAGGATCATCCAGTTAGAGCCCTGAAATGCAAGCTTTCTTTTCTGCCTATGAATTCTCATGTGGGAGCAACATTTTCACTCCCCTACTACAGATGTAAAACTTGTCACCCATCATCTCGTGCTTTAATTCCCATTCTCATTAAAAATGCTAGGCAATCTCATTTTTTGACTATCAGCATGTTTAGTTAAGACAAATATTAACAGTAGTTTACTTCAATGATAGAAGACACAGGCACTGCAGTTCTGTAGTTTGAAAGAGAGCCCAAATCAGTTTTAAATCAGCACAATTCTCATGTAGCAATAACTACCAATTCTGAAAGTAGCTGGCTGATGGAAGCAAAGGGAGATAGATACAGGATTGCATGAAAGATCATTGTTATGAATATCTTCAGGAAGAAATCTTAGGTATCCCATTGTGATTAATGGATCAGTTTTCATGCTGATTGCCTTAGAGGAATTTTGGCTAAAATTAGGGATTCCCTTTCCCTTTGTCAGTCATAAATGGGTTACTGATTCTTTTTATAAACCCTTGCTAAAAATATTCAGAATTCCACAAGGCAAGTATCGGTCGATAGGATACTACAAAAGAGTCCATTTTATTTTGTACTGCAGTTGATTTTGGGTATTCATCAGGTAACAGTGTTTTCTCTGTGCTTTACTGGTGGGGTTTCTTTCCAGAAGAGAGAATACTGAAGATCTTCACATCCTAAAGGAACATATATAGAGAGATGCACTTCTACTTATGTTCTGGAGACAAAGCCTGAGAAACCTCTGCTTCTTTAGGCAGGAGGACCTCTTTGTGTGTGACTGGGATGATTGTCAGTACAAATCTCTAATTGCATCTTTTTCTTTCTCACTTGAGGCCCTAAGAGCTGGTTTCTTCTCTTCTATAATTCTGGAAAGGCCACACAGAAAAGTCAGCATTTATACTTTCTTAAGACAAAAAACAAGATCTAAAACTGTGGAGAACATTTCCTGTTTTCAGCCTTCTCCCTTGATGTGAGGTTTATCACTTTGCTTTTAAGTAGGCCAGGACTTGAGGTGCCAGGTTCCAGGAACACCAGTGACAGCTTATTAAGCCCATCTCTCTCCAAATTAAGAAACGATTGTCACATGACAAAAGGCAAGGATTTTCCAATGATCTTCAGGTCCCTCTGATGGTTGACTTTTTAAATTTATTTCTGGTTCCAAGATTATTTATTTCACTTGTTCTCTTCTTTTATTAAATTAAGAACTTTAAAAACCAGGCCCAAGTGGCAGCTTGAATCCTTTACCCATGAGGACTAAGAAGTCCCAACCTAGCTCTACCATATTGGATGTGGGTGGGTATGAAGCTAATACAAGAACTAAGGGTAAATAAACCTGGAAGGGAGGGGTTAGAGGGGTAGCCACAGCTACTGTCCCTGAGCTAGAATTCACATTTTAAGAAGGATCAGGCTAGTCAGGTTAAGTCCAAGCCCAATGAGATCCTGTGGTGACCAGAGGTTTGCCAGGGTAAGCCACTAAAAACCAAGATGCCCTCAACCCATTTGAGGGCCAGGGCCTGCCCTGAGCCATGGCCTACCCAACATACTTTTTCATCATCACTGTCTGTGCTCTGGGTCCCACTCTCCAGGAGGCTTGGGACAAGGATCTTTCTGCCAAAGGCCCCAGGGCATTCCCAGATGGGATGTCCCCATGTGGGCAAGAGCAAGGATGGCACCCTGATGGAGTCAGAGGAACAAGGCAATGGTCTTGCAGCCATTAGAGGAGAAGAGCTGATCGTCCTCAGCAAAGAAGGTGGTGCTCTCCAGCACAGTCTACATGACCTTATCCTGGGGCTCCAGACCCAGCTGGGCCAGCTCATTGAGCATGCAGTGGGAAAGGTACCACAGCATCCATGAGGTGCTCCTCCATGATGCCTGAGTGTCAGAAGCCATCTGGTGAAGATGAAGATGGCTTTGCTCTACTTGGTCCCATACATGACCCAGGAGGAACCCAGGAAAGGTGAAGAACCTCCATCAGGCCTGGGGGCAGTTTGTCCATTTAAGAGGAAGAGAGTGACCACAGGCAAAACAGCGAAGTTAGGTCCCAGGCGATTGCTGCCACTGAGACTGACCCAAACAACCCGAGGCACAAGCCCCCAGGCCAGCAGCTGCACTCGGTAACTGCCATCTAGGTGAAGCCCCAGCTTGGTCAGATAATGATTGAGTTTTATTCAGATACTGGGATTTCCCAGGATAAACACAACAAGGTTTTCAGTGTAATTAAAGGTCTGGTAAAGAATGCAAAGTCATTGAAGGGCTTTCTCAATCTTGAGAAGGGTGAAGATGTGAAAAACAATACATATAAAATAGTCTCTCCTATTATTTTAACTTGGAAAGTTTCACCGATGTCTCTCCAACTAGTCTTCTATCTTTTCGCAATAAGAAGGCGGAGAGGCAAAGTGATTTGCTCCTGATCTTGCAGTGAATGCTAAGGATTGATGAAGCTAACTTCCCAGAATGATTTCTTGGGAGCATTATGATAAACTGGGCAGACAATGCTCCTTGTTGCTCCATTATTTAAAACATTTTCAATGGTCTATTTCCATCCATTCTTCAGATGTGCACATCTGGTCTGTGCATACTGACAGAACACTTTTGCTGCTCCTGTTGCATTTGCTCTGCTAGAGAGGTCATTAGGAGTCTTGGTGTGACTCTGAGTTAATGCACTGGACTGCAAAGTCGGTTTGAACCACAAGTTTGGCAGTTCAAATTCACCAGCTGCTCCTAGGAAACCCTATGCAGGGTTGCTGTGAGTCAGAACCAACTTGACGGCACTTAACAACAACAGCAACAACAAGAGGTCATTGAGGCAGTTTTTCACCAAGTGTTCACTTATGAACCCAGTGTTGTAGACAAACCCCCAGTAATCAAGGGTTTTGGAGAGACAAGGCCTAAACTGTTACAGTCTGCTCCAGTGGGCAAGATGCCATGAGCAAAACTCTGATCAATGTGTTTCTTGTTTTAAAAACCAAACTTAAAACTAACATTTTCTCTTATAGGGTCTGACAAAGAGCCATTGAAAACCCCCATCAAAGGAAGCTTTGAATTAAATAACTCTGTTTTCCACTTCTGCAAGACACCTGAGTCATTGGACAGAGGCTGGAAGAAAAATCTTTCCTCCAAAGGCCAGGTCGGTAAAGAAAGATAAATGAATCTCATAAAAATTGAGACAGGGAAGAGCTAGCTTAGCTGCTTTACTCATCAATATGGAAAAGATGAATTTCTCATAGAGAAAAAATGAGTGAGTGAAGAATATGAATAGAGTCACATCTATTGTTGTTAGGTACCTTTGAGTCAGCTCTGACTCATAGTGACCCTATGTGTAACAGAACGAAACACTTCCTGGTCCTCCTCCATCCTCACAACTGTTGTTACCCTTGAGTCTATAGTTCCTGCCACTGTGCTATTCCATCATTCACATTGTCCCTCCACTTTACCAAGCATGGTGTTCTTTTCCAGGAATTGGTCCCTCCTGATAATTTGTCTAAAGTACTAGAAACGAAGTCTCACTATCTTGGCTTCTAAGGAGTATTCTGGTTGTACTTCTTCCAAAACAGCTTTGTTTGTTCTTCTTGCAGTTCATGGTATTTTCAGTATTCTCCAACACCATAACTCAAATGCATCAATTTTTTCAGTCTTCCTTCACTGTCCAACTTTATTTGAGGTAGTTGAAAATACCAAGACTTGGATCAGCACACCATAGTCCTCAAACTGATATCTTTGTTCTTGAACACTTTAAAGAGGTCTTATGCAGCAGATTTACCTAATGCAGTATGTCATTTGATTTCTTGACTGCTGTCATGATTGTTCATTGTGGATCCAAATAAAATGAAGTCTTTGAAAACTTCAATTTTTTCCTCCATTTATCACAGTGTAATTTATTGGTCCAGTTGTGAGGATTTTTATTCTCTTTTTATTGAGGTATAATCCGTACTGAAGGCTGTCAACTTTGATCTTCATTAATAAGTATTTTAAGCCCTTTTTGCTTTCAATAAGCAATCTGCATAGCACAGATTGCTGAGTATTCTCCAATTCTTATGCCGCATTCTTCTTCATAGAATCCAGTTTCTCAGATTATTTGCTCAGCATACAGATTGGATAAACATGGTAAAAGGATACAACCCTGGCCCACACTTCTCCTGATTTTAAATCGTTCATTATCCACTGTTAAGTTTGAATGACTATCTGTTGGTCTATGTACAGGTTCCACATGAGCACAATTAAGTGTTCTAGAATATCCATTCTTTGCTATGTTATCCATAGCTTGTCATGATCTACATAGTTGAAAGATTTTGCATAGTCTATAAAGCACAAGTAAACATCTTTCTGGTATTCTCTGCTTTCAGTCAAGATCCATTTGACATCATCAATGATATCTCTAACTCCATATTCTCTTCTGAATCCAGCATGAATTTCTGGCATTTTCCTGTTGATGTACTGTTGCAGCCATTTAAAAATTATCTTCAGCAAAATTTTATATGCATGTGATATTAATGATATTATTTGATGACTTCTGCATTCCACTGGGTCACAAAGTGGTTGTGGTTGGCCTTGTCTTCCAAAGTTCTTGGCATACATGACTATGCTGCATTAGTTTGTTGAAAGATTTCCATTTGTATTCTGTCAATTCCTGGAGCCTTGTTTTTTTTTTTTTTTTAATTATCAATGTCTTCTGTGCACTTTGAACTTCTTCCTTCAGCAGTGTTCTTGATCATATGATACCTCTTGAAATGGTTGAACATTGACTGTTTTTCATACAGTGACTCTATGTATACTTTCCATCTTCTTAAATTTTTTTCTACGTCATTCAATGAGGAGCTCTGGTAGCGTAGTGTGTTATGTGTTTGGCTACTAGCAGTTCAAATTCACTAGCCACTCCATGGGAGAAAGATGAGGCTTTCTGCTCCCAAAAAGATTTGCAGTCTTGGAAACCCTAAACAGGGTTGCTATGAGTTGGAATCAACTTTTTGGTATACAAAAGCATCCTTCAATATTGCAAGTTGAAGTTTGAAATTTTGTTTCAGTTCTTTCAGCTTGAGAAATGTTCTTCCCTAACTCCAGGTCTTTGCACATTTCATTACAATACTTGACTTTGTCTTTTTGAGCTGTTCAGTTCTTCTACGGTTTCATTTCTTCCACTTGCTTTAGCATCTCTACACTGGAAAGCAACTGTAGAGCATCTCTTCTGACATCCATTTTTGTCTTCTCGTTCTTTCCTGTCTTTTTAATGATCTTTTGCATTCTTCCTGCATGTTGTTCATGATGTCATCCCACAACTCTTCTGGTCTTTGGTCATTAGTGTCTAATGCATCACATCTGCTCTTGAGATTGTCTCTAAATTCAGGTGGGATATGTACAAGGTAATATTTTGGCTCTTGTTCACTTATTTTCATTTTCTTCAGCTTCAGTCTGACATTTTATATGACTATTCCACAGTCTGTCCCTGGCTTTGTTTTGGCTGAAGTTTTCCACTGTCTCTTCCTATAGACGTAGACAGTTTGATTCCTGTGTATTCCATATGGTGAGGTCCATGTGTATAGCCATCTTTTATGTTGTTGAAAAAAGGTATTTGCAACGAATAAGTCATTGATCATGCAAAATCTTGTCATGTGATATCCAGAATCATTCCAAGGCCATATTTTACAACTACTGATCCTTCCTCTTTGCATTGTAAAATGTTTGGCAGCACCTCTATCTCTTCCTGCTACCTGAAAACCTTATGAATATCAGTTAAAGGCAGAGGTGCTGCCAAATATCTTACAATGAACAGACTCCATACCAACAGGTTGTTGTTGTTAATGGCAGTTAAGCTGGTTCTTACTCATAGTGTCCCTGTGTAGAGTTTCTGAGGAGTGACTGGTGGGTTTGACCCTTAGACCTTGTGGTTAGAAGTCCAGTGCTTATCCTACACGCCATACCAGATTGTTGTTGTTGTTGTCAGTTGCCATTGAGTTGGAACCAACTCATAGCGACCCCATGCACAACAGAACGAAACAATGTCCAATCCTGGGCCAACCTCACTACCGCTGCCACACTTGACACCATCAATGATGCCACCTGGCATCACTGGGGGTCTTCCTCTTTTTGTCTGATCCTCCATCTTACCCAGCATGACATCCTTCTCCAGCGACTGACAATATGTCCAAAGTATGAGAGATGAAGCTTAGCCATCCTGGCCTCTAAGGAGCACTCTGGCTGCACTTCTTCCAAAACAGATCTATTGGTTCTTTTGGCAGTCCATGGCACTTTCAGTATTCTCCTCCAACACCACAACTCAAAGGCATCAATTCTTCTACGATCTTCCTTATTCACTGTCCAGCTTTCGTATCCATATGAAGTTATTGAAAATACCATCGCTTGGGTCAGGCACACCTTAGTCCTCAAGCTGACATCTCTGTTCTTCAACACTTTAAAAAGTTCCTGTGCAGCAGATTTGTCTAATTATCTGCCCCCAATGCCAATAGTGATGAGATCAATAGAGTCTGCTTTACACTCAATTGTTCTAACTTATTCTTGTTAGGTGCTGCTGAGTCCATTCTGACCCTATGTAAAACAGAATGAAATATTATTCATCATCACAACTGTTGCTATATTTGAACCCCTTATTGCAGCCACTGTGTCAGTCTATCTTGTTGAGAATCTTCCTCTTTACATCGGCCATCTACTTTACCAAGCACGTTATCTTTCTCCAGAGATTGGTTCCTCCTTATAACATGCTCTGCCTTAGAACTCTTCTACCTTAAATACCTTAAAAGCCTAGATAGATTGGCTAGCAATGCCTTTTCTTTCTTTTTCTTAATAATGTATTATGTTTTAGGTGTTCATATGTTACGAATTGGGCTGCAAACCACAAGGTCAGCAGTTCAAAACTATCAGCTGTTCCACGGGAGAAAGATGAGGCTTTCTGCTCCCCGTACAGGTTGCTATGAGTCAGAACCGACTCCACAGTACATAAGCACCACCACCGCAGCAATTTCAGCTCCCACTTAGCAGTGTTTATACAAATTGTTCCTTGACACTGGTTACATTTTTCACAGTGTGTTAACATTCTCATTATTTCCATTCTGAGTTTTCTGTTTCCATTCATTTAGTTTCTCTGCCTTTCTTTAACTTCTCATCATAGTTTTAGGGTAAATGTTGGCCATTTGGTCTCATATATGGGAGTAAATAAAAAAGTATTGCTACTAGGGTTTCAATTCATATATGCATGGATTTATTTCAAACAATATATGTTTAAGCATGTCTCTGTAATCAGGGAATGGATGTAGACAAGTTCTCTCAGTAATATACTTGTCCTAGTGTTGCTAGTTGTTGTTAAGTGCCATCAAATTGGTTCTGACTCATAGTGACCCTGTATAGGGTTTCAGAGGAGTGTCTGGTGGGTTTGAAGTGCTGACCTTGGGTTAGTAGTCCAGTACTTATCTTTACAGTGCCATGCCAGGTCTTGTTTGTTGTTGTTAAGTGCCATTGAGTCAGTTCTGTATTTATTCAATCTGTATGCTTAGAAAATAATCCAAGAAACTGGATTCTATGAAGATGAATGTGGCCTCAGGATTGGAGAAAGACTCATTAATACTCTGAGATATACAGATAATACAATCTTGGAAGGAAAGAGGACTTAAAATTCTTACTGATGAAGACCAAAGACCACAGCCTTAATTATGGATTGTACCTCAATGTAAACAAAACACCAGTCCTCACAATTGGAATAGTAAATAACATCTTGATAAACAGAGGAGATAGAAGTTGTCAGACTTCATTTTACTTGGTCCCACTATCAATGCTCATGGAAGTGGCAGTTAGGAAATCAAATGCTGTCTTGCATTTGGCAAATCTTCTATAAAAGACCTCTTTGAAGCGTTCAAGAGTAAAGATGTCAGATTGAGGACTAACGTGCATCTGACCCAAGCCATGATATTTTCAATCACCTCATATGCATGTGAAAGATGAACAATGAATGAATAAGGAAGACCATAGAAGAATAGGTACATTTGAATTATGGTGTTGGTAAAGAATATTGAAACTACCATGGGCTGCCAGAAGGATAAACAAATCGGTCGTGGAAGAAGTATAGCAAGAAGCTCCTTACAAGCGAGGATGGCAAGACTTCTCTGATTTTTCGGGCATGTTGTCAGGAGGGATCAATTCTTGGAGAGGACATCGTGTTTGGTAAAGTGGAAGGTCAGTGAAAAAAAGAGGAAGACCTCCAACAAGATGGATTGACAAAGTGGCAGGACCAATGGGCTCAGGGGTAATGACTGTTGTGAGGATGGTGTAGGACTAGGCTGTGTTTTGCTTTCTTATGCATGGGGTCACTATGAGTTGGAATGGACTAGATGACACCTAACAACAACAACAGTTATAACAGAAATATCACAAGTGGATGGCTTTAACAAACACATTCCTTCTCTCACAGTTTAGGAGGCTCTTTAGCCTGGCTCTGTAGAACAGTCCTTGTCTCCTTAAGCATTGATAGGCACAACATTCCTTGGAGATCTCCATGTGTCTTGGCATTAATTGTTCCCTGGATCTAGGGACTTTACAGCGCAGGGGTCCCAGGTCAAGAAGATGCACTCTACTCCCAGCTCTTCTTTCTTGGTGGTAGTAGGTTCCTCTGAGCTCTGCTTGCTTTTTTGATCTCTTTTATATCATAAGAGATTGATTCAAGATACAACCTAATCCTGTAGATTGCATTCAGCCTCATTAACATCATAGAAGTGAGGATTCACAACACATAGGATAATTACATCAGATCAGGGCTGAGCACATCATGGGGGTATGATGACATCATGACATAACTGTTAAACCATGGAGTTAGGGTACAGCTAAGTTGACACATTTTTTGGGGGTACAATTAAAACCATGACACTGTGGTCCATATGAACTGTTAGTCCTGCACATTAGTATCTTCTTTAATTGGTTTCTTTAAATCTTTGTTTGGTTTCCTTAAATCTTGTTTGTTTCAGATAAGTAGAGACCAATAGTTTTATCTTAGATGATGGCTCATGAGCTTTTAAAACCCCAGTTACTACTTACCAAACTAGAACATTAGCTTTATAAACTATGTTATGCCAATTGACTAAGTTGTCCCACAAGATTATGGTCCTAAACTTTCAAACCCAGTAAACCAATCCCATGAGATGTCTGGTTCTGTCTAGGAAATATTTGTAATTGTGTCCCCTATGTAGTTTATTGTATCTATGACTATATATGCAGCACAAACAAACATGTACATATATATATATGTACAGATAAATGTAACAATAGTGAGGCTGGCACAAGTCCATGCAATGTTGCATTCTGTCGTGCATAGGGTTTCTGTGAGTTGGAGCTGACTCAACAGCATCTAACAACAACAGATATACCTATACATGCATACCCATATACTCATATGGGTTCTCCCACATTTCTGTGTACATATCTGCATACGCATTTACCTATCTAACCACACACTTTTTTTTTTTTTTTTGGTTATTATTGTTGTAGCATAATTATATGATACAGCACTTACTGAAATTGTCCCTTATTCTGTATACTTCTTAGTATCTACATTTACCTTGGACAAGTTGTGAAGACTTCACCCATATTGGGTATGGCCTTTCCCATCTCCCAAAACAACAACAAACAAACTAACAACAAAAGAGTATCTACTGTCTAGAAAGTTACTTCTTCATCCTTCCTTTCCCATTCTTCTTCTTCTTATTAAATGACATCAAATCGGTTCTGACTCATAGTGACCCTGTTTAGGGTTTCTGAGGAGCAGCTGGTGAGTTTGAACTGCCAGCCTTGTGGTTAACAGTCTAGTGCTTATCCTATAGTACCACACCAGGACTCTGTTGGTAGCCATCAATGAATGCTTTTGGTTGTTCTTGACTATTCTTGACACTTTATAATAGTGAGACCGTACAATGTTTGTTCTTTTGTGACTGACTTATTTCACTCAGCATAATGCCCTCCAGATTCATCTGTGTTCTAAGATGTTTCATGGACTCACTACTTTTTATGCTGTTGTTGTTGATAAGTGTGTTGGAGTTGGTTCTGACGCATAGCAGCCCTGTATGGTGTTTCCAAGGAGCTGTTAGCAGTCCATTGCTTATCATACCATGACTCCATTATTTTATACTGTTGTTGCTAAGTGCTGTGGAATCATTTTCAACTCATAACAACCCTGTATAGGGTTTCTGAGGAGTGGTTGGTGAGTTTGAACTGCTGACCTTGTGTTGAGCAGTCCTGTGCTTATCCTACAGTATAGCACCAGTAGTACTTAGTAGTAAAGTAAGTATTCCATTATATGTAACACAATTTGTCAAATCCATTCATCTATTGATGGGCTTTTAGGTTGTTTCCATCATTTTGTGCTTATGAATAATGCTGCAATGAATTTAGGCGTGCATATATCTGTTCAAAAAAAAGAAATCCAGTGGTGAGGATTTTCGTTTTATTTACAATGAGATACAAGCCATACCCAAGGGTAAACAACATTCTTATCAACAGAGAAAAGATTGAAGTTGTCAAGGACTTTATTCTTCTTGGATCAACTATCAACACTCATGGAAACAGCATGAAGAAATCAAACGACGTATTGCATTGGGCAAATCTGCTGCACAAGACCTTTGTAAAGTGTTGAAGAGCAAAGATGTCAGCTTGAGGACTAAGGTGTGCCTGATCCAAGCCATGGTATTTTCAGTAACTTCATATGCATGTGGAAGCTGGACAGTGAATAAGGAAGACTGTAGAAGAATTGATGCTTTTGAGTTACGGTGTTGGAGGAGAATATTGTAAGTGTCATGGGCTGCCAAAAGAACAAACAGATCTGTGTTGGAAGAAGTTCAGCCAGAGTTCTCCTTGGAGGCCAGGATGGCCAAACTTTGTCTCTCATACTTTGGACATGTTGTCTGGAGGGACCAGTCACTGGAGAAGGATATTATGTTTGGTAGAGGGCAGGGTCAGAGAAAAAGAGGAAGACCCCCAGCGAGATAGATTGGCGAAGTGGCAGCATCAATGGACTCAAGCATGACAGCAACTGTGAGGTTGGCCCAGGACTGGGCAGCATTTTGTTCTGTTGCGCATAGGTCGCTGTGAGTCAGTACTGACTTGATGGCACCGAACAACAACAACAATATGTCTGTTCATATTACTGCTCTTATAGCTCTAGGATGTATAGCTATGAGTAGGATTGCTAGATTACAAGGTATTTGATGTTTCACTGTTTGAGGAAGTGCCATAATGTTTTCCATAGAGGTTGTACCATTTTACAATCCCACCAGAAGTGCTGAATTCCCATCTCCCAACAACCTCTCACCAGATTTGTTGTTTTCTTGGCAATGCCTTTTTTTGTGACCAGAACTATGATGGTTAGTGATTTTTATATACATAAGATCAAGTATATTGTTGTGAAGGAGGAAAAAGTCTCTGCTTTAACCACTCTCTTGTATGCTTTTAGAAAATTACAATTAGTAGTTGTTTCCACTTAGTATTAATACTTTATCTATTTTTTATTGATATTGAATATAAGAATGGCGGAAATGCCCTTTGTATAGTGGCCCATAAAGGTAGTAATTAAATTTTTATGTGCAATGGAATTAGGCAAGCTACTTAGGCTCCCTGTGACTTGGTGTCCCCATTTCTAAATAGGTAAGGGGGTTGCTAAAAAAGACCTATATAACTAGTCCAACCCCACACATTACAGATGAGGAAAATTGAAGCCCAGAGAAAATTCCAGAAACAGGCTAAGAGAACATCTCTGGGAGGAGAACTGCGAGACAATCCTTGAAAAGAATCTCTCTGTAACAATCTTTTTTTTTTTTAAAGCTTGTATTGTGAATTGAGTGATAGTTTACATGACAGAACATCAGTTTTGCACTTAACCAATTGTATTTTGTCTCATTGCAATGATTATAATCCTCTCCACACACCATCAGCTAACAATATTTGCCTCTATTCCCCCCCCACCCCGTCCCTCATTTTTTTAATGTACAGAAAAACATGCAGGAATATATAATCATTTGGCACTGTGGGTTATGCACTGAACTGAAAGGCTGCTTTGAATTGCACGGTCGGTGGTTCAAGCTCACCAGCCACTCCTTGGAAACCCTATACAGGGTCACTATGAGTTAGTACCAACTTGATGGCACTTAATAACAATAAAATAACCAAAGGGCACTCCTGCCTGCCATCACACAGCCTTTCTCTTTCCATGAGTTTAGAGTCCTCTGCTGCTCTGTCTCTCCATGCCATCCCCTCTGCCTCTGTCTCTGGGTAGCAATTGATCTTAATAACATGCAACTTTATTATTCTGAGAAGGTCTTTTAGTTTCAAAGCATACTAGAAATACCATGGGATTTTCAATTCTTACAGACTTTGGTGATATTTCTGACTTATGGTTGGTTTCCAAGGTTAAGTATTGAAATGTTAACTGCAAAGTCAGCAGTTTAAACCCACCAGGTGCTCCATAGGAAAAACATGAGTCTGTCTGCTCCTATAAATATTTACATTCTTAGAAATCCTAAGGAGCCATACTACATTGTTTTGTATGGTTGCTATAAGTTGGAATCAACTCTACGGCAGTGAGGTTTTTATAGTTGATAACAGGGTTTTTAAGCAAGGAGATTATAAAAGATTCTATTTTAGCTGAATAATAACTGCACTAAGGAGTTCTGAAAGCACTATAGGATAAGCACTGAACTGTTAACTGAAAGGTTGGCTGTTCAATCCACCAACCACTCCATGGGAAAAAGATGAGTTTTTTTGCTCCAATAAAGATTTACAGTTTCAAAAACCTGTACAGGGTTGCTGTGAGTTGGAATCAGCTCAATGACAGTGTTTTGTGTGTTTTTTAAAAAATATCTGCTCTATGTTGGGGAAGTTGTTGGGAAGATTAGCAATAGTATCGACAGAATGCTTAGCACTGTGTTTGTTATGCAGTGGTTGCTTACTGTAAAGTTGCAATTATTGCAGGACTGACTGGTTTTGACTAGATGAAATATTTTAATTTCCAGAAGAATGATCAACTGTAACTCTATATCATGTACTACACTTGAAATGTACACATAGTTTTCTAAAGAATTATTTTCTTCATGTATTTGCAGAAATGTTTAAACCAGCTGTTTTGCATCCAGAAGCAAGTTCCCCAGGATAAAGGCAAAATGCAACTCTGTGAGCAATCACAATGCGTTTGGAAAGGTATGGGGCAAACTTTCCCTGTTTATCCTTCTCTCCCTGCCTTCCCTCTCTCTCTCTTTCTTTCTTTCAAGTATTATTATTATTACTTTTTCTGTAAAGATTTTTATTTGAGGGGGTAAGGGGGTACAGTGAACAGGAACCTGCTCAGTCCTTCTTGGCAGCTGCCTTCCTCGTCATGGCCAGGATATTGCTGAGCTCCTCTAGCTTCCTCTTGGTGCAGATGTGTGTCCACCCTTTTCTTGATGAACTTGAGTGCTCACTTGTCCTTGGAGACCTTGAGCAGCTCCATGGCCCAGTGCTCATAAGGTGCAAAGCCACACACCTCCCAGATCATGTCCTGCACGAGCTTGGTGTGCTTGGTGAGGCGCCCATGGCAGCAGCTGTGCCTTGGCTCGCTCACGTTCTTGGTTACTTTGTGGCCCTTGTTGAGGCCAACGGCCATAGGGTAGTGCACAGCCATGGCTGCTGTTCTTCAAGGGCTGCAGAAGGCAAAAATATTAATTTTTAAATTTATCAGACTAAATCAAAATAATTTAGATATGTTGATAATTTAGATAATTCTCATTGTCTTCTGCCCTAACACTTCCCATTCTGTTTTATTTCCTAGAAGCATTTATCCTGAGTTTCCTGCCATTTTCTCTGGTATTTATATTAAAAAAAACCCCAAACTTTTACATTTATTTATTTACTTTTATTTTGTGGTGGGAGGAGATGGTGGGAGTAAGGATTTAGGGTTAGGACTATGACTAGGTCTAGGTTAGGCCTAAGATTTGGTTTAGTGATAGGGTTTTTGTGAGGAGTTGGGTTAGTATTGGAATCCTGGTTTGGCACTGCAAGATATTGCACTGGACCGTAAGATTGGTTTGAACTACAGGGTTAGCGGTTCAAACCCACCAGCTGCTTCTTGGAAATCATATGCAGGGTTGCTATGAGTCAGAATTGACTTGACAGCACTTAACAATATCAAGGGTTAGTATTAGAGGTAGGGATTGGGCTAGGACTAGGAGTAAGGCTTAGTCTAGTTTAAAAAAATTTTTTTTATTTAAGGTTTTTATTGTGGATTGAGTGAAAGTTTACAGGGCATATCATCAGTTTTATATTCAACATATCATACACCTTGTTTCATTACAATGATTATAATCCTCTCCATGTACCATCAATTAACAGTATTTCTCTTTATCCACTTTAGCTTTAAACAAACAAACAAACAAACAAACAAACAAACAAACAAACAAATCACTCAGGCATATATAATTTACATCTCCAAAGGGCACATTCTGCAAGTCTGCCTCCTGGCCACTAGCTCTTAGTCCCTCTCTTCTTAGTCCATGAATCTAGAGTCCTCATCTGCTCCCCCTCTCCATGACACCATCTCTGCCTCCATCTTGGGTGCTGCTGCTTCTCTGGATAAGGTCCCGCATTCTGCTTGTGCGCTTCTCTCTTGATAGTCCTAGGGTCCTCTGTTTCTGGACTGTAAGATTAGCCACTCCCTTTTTTTTTGTTACAAAACTTCTACCTTTACAATTGTGACAGTCATAATTAGTCATGATAACAATTATTCACTATTGAACCTTCGTATCTTATTCCCATCTCTTTTCACCAGA